GCCTCTGCGGTGTTTACTTGTCTAAAGTATGGTATCTTTAAAGTTATTTTTTTTTTATTTGTTATTTTTTATATGTATTATTTGTATTTTTGTCTAGTTGAGTATATTATTTATATTGCTTTGTCTTGTCTGTGTGTGTGTAAAACTTAATAAACAGAGTTCTCAAAAAAAAAAAAAAAAAAACTTCCTTTTGATAAATTTTTTGACTATGTGTTTTTCCATGCATGAATATGTTCAATGTGGGCTAATAGCAGTAAGACCAAATTCAATGTTTCATCCCCAATTTTTTTAAAATATATTTTAGTTACACCTAAAAGGGTCCTAAAGTTCAAAATCAAACAGCTAAATGATCCTTGGTATGACCATCTTAAAACAGTTCCATATGTTAGCTTAGTAGAACCTCCCACAGTATCTATATACAGTGGGGGGAAAAAGTATTTAGTCAGCCACCAATTGTGCAAGTTCTCCCACTTAAAAAGTTGAGAGAGGATTGTAATTTTCATCATAGGTACACGTCAACTATGACAGACAAAATAAGATTTTTTTTCTCCAAAAAATCACATTGTAGGATTTTTAATGAATTTATTAGCAAATTATGGTGGAAAATAAGTATTTGGTCAATAACAAAAGTTTCTCAATACTTTGTTATATACCCTTTGTTGGCAATGACATAGGTCAAACGTTTTCTGTAAGTCTTCACAAGGTTTTCACACACTGTTGCTGGTATTTTGGCCCATTCCTCCATGCAGATCTCCTCTAGAGCAGTGATGTTTTGGGGCTGTCGCTGAGAAACACGGACTTTCAACTCCCTCCAAAGATGTTCTATGGGGTTGAGATCTGGAGACTGGCTAGGCCACTCCAGGACCTTGAAATGCTTCTTACGAAGCCACTCCTTCGTTGCCCGGGCGGTGTGTTTGGGATCATTGTCATGCTGAAAGACCCAGCCACGTTTCATCTTCAATGCCCTTGCTGATGGAAGGAGGTTTTCACTGATACCATAAAGGTTATGTCATCATCATGAAAGTGGAAAAGGATATGTGGCGTTTGGACACATCCCTCTTGAATTAACAAAGAAATAGCTCGGAATTTATCAAAAGCTTTTCCATGACAGAATTTTATTTACTTATTAGTTATTTTATTTTGGTTATTGGGTGAAAAACATCCATGTAATGGGTGAAAAGAAAGCAAAGAACAGAAAAGAGTGACATGCTGTATCTTGCACATTGAGAGAACATTATTCTTGTGGTAGTTCACGCCTACTACCACACCCCATCATTAACAAATGTCTTGTGCAATAAAACTTGTTTTACCTTCATTACACTGGATTACAATTACAAATAGACACACTGTAGAGTAACACAGAAAATCCCAAAACAGAAAATACAGACCCAACAGTATTGTTGGTGTACCAGCAGAATAAGTCAATGACAGAAATAAAGCTTTGTTTGTACACACACTGTAAAGAGTATTAGGCGTGTAGCAGGCTAATTCTACCATATTCTACCAGGCTTTGAAACGCTTTGTGCTGGTCTTCGAACAAAGGCCCATACTGCAGGCTTCGCAATGGGCACTCTCATGGGGGGGACCTTCATCATCTTCATCATCAAAATGATGTCTGTTTTTCTTTCCCAGGTTCTCGTGGTAGCACTTGATACGAATCTTCTCCATCAGTTTCTCCAGTAGGACTTCAAGTTTCTCCTCATCGAAACTGGCCTCCTCCATAAGAGCCTCATCACACTGCCTGCATTCCTGACGTAAGCGTCGCACTTTAACCATTCCCTGCCCTGACGATAGACGCATGTGAAACACCACTTGCACCCGGCCAGAGGACCAACTTCTGTTACACTTGGAGCACCTGAACCTTGATGTGGAAATTGGAGAAATAAGGAAAGTGGGTTTCAGACACAAGCAGTTCTTGGAGAAATAGGGAAAGTGGGTTTCAGACACAAGCAGTTCTTGGAGAAATAGGGAAAGTGGGTTTCAGACACAAGCAGTTCTTGGAGAAATAGGGAAAGTGGGTTTCAGACACAAGCAGTTCTTAGCAGGGCAATTGTTAAAATCCACTACGGTGCTGTTGTGTTGTACTCAACTTGTGTTGTACCTTGCGGAACTATTCTTTGTAATTCTACACCAGGCACAGTCTGTGTTTACCAAATAAAACCTTATTATTAGAATTGCAAAGAATTCAGTCTGTACCATTGTGTAGAATTACAAAGAATTGCATTCAAACATACTTTTTGAGAGGGCTACATGAAATCTAGATAAATATATTGAACAAAAATATAAATGCAACATGTAAAGTGTTGGTCCCATGTTTCATGAGCTGAAATAAAAGATCCCAAAATTTTTCCATACGCACAAGAAGCTTATTTATCTCAAATGTTGTGCACTAATTTGTTTACATCCCTGTTAGTGAACATTTTTCCTTTGCCAAGATAATCCATCCACCTGACAGGTGTGGCATATCAAGAAGCTGATTAAACAGCATGATCATTACACAGGTGCACCTTGTGCTGGGGACAATAAAAGGCCACTTTAAAATGTGCGGTTTTGTCACACAACACAATGCCACAGATGTCTCAAGTTTTGAGGGAGCGTGCAATTGGCATGGTGACTGCAGGAATGTCCACGAGAGCTGTTGCCAGAGAATTGAATGTTAATTTCTTTATCATAAGCCCCCTCCAACATCGTTTTAGAGAATTTGGCAGTACGTCCAACCGGCCTCACAACCGCAGACCATGTGCAACCACGTCAGCCCAGGACCTCAACATCCTGCTTCTTCACCTGCCGGATCGTCTAAGGTGGGTGCTGAGGAGTATTTCTGTCTGTGGGGAAAAACTCATTTGGCTGCACCCCTGCCCAGTCATGTGAAATCCATAGATTAGGGCTTAATGAATTTATTTCAATAGACTGATTTCCTTCTATGAACTGTAACTCAGTAAAATCGTTGAAATTGTTACATGTTGCGTTTACGTTTTTGTTCAGTATACAGTATAAACATATCTATCTACTATATATATACAGTGGGGGAAAAAAGTATTTAGTCAGCCACCAATTGTGCAAGTTCTCCCACTTAAAAAGATGAGAGAGGCCTGTAATTTTCATCATAGGTACACGTCAACTATGACAGACAAAATGAGAAAAAAAATCCAGAAAATCACATTGTAGGATTTTTTATGAATTTATTTGCAAAGTATGGTGGAAAATAAGTATTTGGTCAATAACAAAAGTTTCTCAATACTTTGTTATATACCCTTTGTTGGCAATGACACAGGTCAAACATTTTCTGTAAGTCTTCACAAGGTTTTCACACACTGTTGCTGGTATTTTGGCCCATTCCTCCATGCAGATCTCCTATAGAGCAGTGATGTTTTGGGGCTGTCGCTGGGCAACACGGACTTTCAACTCCCTCCAAAGATTTTCTATGGGGTTGAGATCTGGAGACTGGCTAGGCCACTCCAGGACCTTGAAATGCTTCTTACGAAGCCACTCCTTCGTTGCCCGGGCGGTGTGTTTGGGATCATTGTCATGCTGAAAGACCCAGCCACTTTTCATCTTCAATGCCCTTGCTGATGGAAGGAGGTTTTCACTCATACCATAAAGGTTATGTCATCATCATGAAAGTGGAAAAGGATATGTGGCGTTTGGACACATCCCTCTTGAATTAACAAAGAAATGGCTCGGAATTCATCAAAAGCTTTTCCATGACAGAGTTTTATTTACTTATTAGTTATTTTATTTTGGTTATTGGGTGAAAAACATCCATGTAATGGGTGAAAAGAAAGCAAAGAACAGAAAAGAGTGACATGCTGTATCTTGCACATTGAGAGAACATTATTCTTGTAGTAGTTCACGCCTACTACCACACCCCATCATTAACAAATATCTTGTGCAATAAAACTTGTTTTACCTTCATTACACTGGATTACAATTACAAATAGACACACTGTAGAGTAACACAGAAAATCCCAAAACAGAAAATACAGACCCAACAGTATTGTTGGTGTACCAGCAGAATAAGTCAATGACAGTAATAAAGCTTTGTTTGTACACACACTGTAAAGAGTATTAGGCGTGTAGCAGGCTAATTCTACCATATTCTACCAGGCTTTGAAACGCTTTGTGCTGGTCTTCGAACAAAGGCCCATACTGCAGGCTTCGCAATGGGCACTCTCATGGGGGGGACCTTCATCATCTTCATCATCAAAATGATGTCTGTTTTTCTTTCCCAGGTTCTCGTGGTAGCACTTGATACGAATCTTCTCCATCAGTTTCTCCAGTAGGACTTCAAGTTTCTCCTCATCGAAACTGGCCTCCTCCATAAGAGCCTCATCACACTGCCTGCATTCCTGACGTAAGCGTCGCACTTTAACCATTCCCTGCCCTGACGATAGACGCATGTGAAACACCACTTGCACCCGGCCAGAGGACCAACTTCTGTTACACTTGGAGCACCTGAACCTTGATGTGGAAATTGGAGAAATAAGGAAAGTGGGTTTCAGACACAAGCAGTTCTTGGAGAAATAGGGAAAGTGGGTTTCAGACACAAGCAGTTCTTGGAGAAATAGGGAAAGTGGGTTTCAGACACAAGCAGTTCTTAGCAGGGCAATTGTTAAAATCCACTACGGTGCTGTTGTGTTGTACTCAACTTGTGTTGTACCTTGCGGAAATATTCTTTGTAATTCTACACCAGGCACAGTCTGTGTTTACCAAATAAAACCTTATTATTAGAATTACAAAGAATTGCATTCAAACATACTTTTTGAGAGGGCTACATGAAATCTAGATAAATATATTGAACAAAAATATAAATGCAACATGTAAAGTGTTGGTCCCATGTTTCATGAGCTGAAATAAAAGATCCCAAAATTTTTCCATACGCACAAGAAGCTTATTTATCTCAAATGTTGTGCACTAATTTGTTTACATCCCTGTTAGTGAACATTTTTCCTTTGCCAAGATAATCCATCCACCTGACAGGTGTGGCATATCAAGAAGCTGATTAAACAGCATGATCATTACACAGGTGCACCTTGTGCTGGGGACAATAAAAGGCCACTTTAAAATGTGCGGTTTTGTCACACAACACAATGCCACAGATGTCTCAAGTTTTGAGGGAGCGTGCAATTGGCATGGTGACTGCAGGAATGTCCACGAGAGCTGTTGCCAGAGAATTGAATGTTAATTTCTTTATCATAAGCCCCCTCCAACATCGTTTTAGAGAATTTGGCAGTACGTCCAACCGGCCTCACAACCGCAGACCATATGCAACCACGTCAGCCCAGGACCTCAACATCCTGCTTCTTCACCTGCCGGATCGTCTAAGGTGGGTGCTGAGGAGTATTTCTGTCTGTGGGGAAAAACTCATTTGGCTGCACCCCTGCCCAGTCATGTGAAATCCATAGATTAGGGCTTAATGAATTTATTTCAATAGACTGATTTCCTTCTATGAACTGTAACTCAGTAAAATCGTTGAAATTGTTACATGTTGCGTTTACGTTTTTGTTCAGTATACAGTATAAACATATCTATCTACTATATATATACAGTGGGGGAAAAAAGTATTTAGTCAGCCACCAATTGTGCAAGTTCTCCCACTTAAAAAGATGAGAGAGGCCTGTAATTTTCATCATAGGTACACGTCAACTATGACAGACAAAATGAGAATTTTTTTTCCAGAAAATCACAATTTAGGATTGTTTATGAATATATTTGCAAATCATGGTGGAAAATAAGTATTTGGTCACCTACAAACAAGCAAGATTTCTGGCTCTCAAAGACCTGTAACTTCTTCTTTAAGAGGCTCCTCTGTCATCCACTCGTTACCTGTATTAATGGCACCTGTTTGAACTTGTTATCAGTATAAAAGACACCTGTCCACAACCTCAAACAGTCACACTCCAAACTCCACTATGGCCAAGACCAAAGAGCTGTCAAAGGACACCAGAAACATAATTGTAGACCTGCACCAGGCTGGGAAGACTGAATCTGCAATAGGTAAGCAGCTTGGTTTGAAGAAATCAACTGTGGGAGCAATTATTAGGAAATGGAAGACATACAAGACCACTGATAATCTCCCTCGATCTGGGGCTCCACGCAAGATCTCACCCCGTGGGGTCAAAATGATCACAAGAACGGTGAGCAAAAATCCCAGAACCACACGGGGGGACCTAGTGAATGACCTGCAGAGAGCTGGGACCAAAGTAACAAAGCCTACCATCAGTAACACACTACGCTGCCAGGGACTCAAATCCTGCAGTGCCAGACGTGTCCCCCTGCTTAAGCCAGTACATGTCCAGGCCCGTCTGAAGTTTGCTAGAGTGCATTTGGATGATCCAGAAGAGGATTGGGAGAATGTCATATGGTCAGATGAAACCAAAATAGAACTTTTTGGTAAAAACTCAACTCTTCGTGTTTGGAGGACAAAGAATGCTGAGTTGCATCCAAAGAACACCATACCTACTGTGAAGCATGGGGGTGGAAACATCATGCTTTGGGGCTGTTTTTCTGCAAAGGGACCAGGACGACTGATCCGTGTAAAGGAAAGAATGAATGGGGCCATGTATCGTGAGATTTTGAGTGAAAACCTCCTTCCATCAGCAAGGGCATTGAAGATGAAACGTGGCTGGGTCTTTCAGCATGACAATGATCCCAAACACACCGCCCGGGCAACAAAGGAGTGGCTTCGTAAGAAGCATTTCAAGGTCCTGGAGTGGCCTAGCCAGTCTCTAGATCCCAACCCCATAGAAAATCTTTGGAGGTAGTTGAAATTCCGTGTTGCCCAGCGACAGCCCCAAAACATCACTGCTCTAGAGGAGATCTGAATGGAGGAATGGGCCAAAATACCAGCAACAGTGTGTGAAAACCTTCTGAAGACTTACAGAAAACATTTGACCTGTGTCATTGCCAACAAAGGGTATATAACAAAGTATTGAGAAACTTTTGTTATTGACCAAATACTTATTTTCCACCATAATTTGCAAATAAATTCATTAAAAATCCTACAATGTGATTTTCTGGATTTTTTTTTCTCATTTTGTCTGTCATAGTTGACGTGTACCTATGATGAAAATTACAGGCCTCTCTCATCTTTTTAAGTGGGAGAACTTGCACAATTGGTGGCTGACTAAATACTTTTTTTCCCCACTGTATATATTTAAAAAAAATACAGCATTTACCCTTTAAATTCAAACTTTAATGTCAACTATCAGTCAAATGTATTTGATTTATCAGATACACACAATTACCTGTTGTTTTTGGTTGTCTATGTTAGCACCCCAACAGTAACACACGTTGCAAGAATATCAAAGGACTCCTACCTTGCAAATGCCCCACTGATGTACTGATGCCAGCCTGATTCCAGGCTGTTTGCCTCAATGGAATCATCAAACTCGATACGCCAGCTGTCTCTCTTATTCATCTTCAGTTGCTTGACCTTTGACTGAAAAATACTAATCCATCCTTGGTTAGTCATTGCTCTTTTGGTGAAGTAGTAGCCAAAAGCGTTGACTTGTTCTTGTTATGCTTCTTCTTCACACCCACTTATACTGTAGCTAAGGATGACCTGGCAGTCATGCAATTAGCACTTTCTTACAACTGCCTTCAACAGAAATGCTATGGGGAAAGTGAAACTTAAGTGCTGTTAGGTTTCTATTTCAACTGATAGTCCTGGCCCAGCTAGCACATTTGTTTCCTTGGAAGTTGTGGAAACGTTTTTTTTTTTTGTTTCCCATTGGTTCTGGGAACAAAGCCATACGTTTCCTGACCGGTAAAACTGAACGTTCTTTAAACGTTCTGAGAACAGAAGTGAAATTCTTTCCTGTTCTGGGATCCTTAATTTTTTTATTACAGGGAGGTTCTGAGGACGTTTTACTATGGTTCCCAGGGAGGTTTTAAAGGTTCTGAGAACAGAAATTAACTGTTTTGAACTCCAAGCACAGATAGGGCACATAAATGTTTATTTGTTTAGGCATTAATCATGCAAACACATTTTTTTTTTTCTTGTGGCACAGCCTCACTGAAATTCAAACCTATGATATTCTGTTTTTTATCCATGGAATTAGTCCAATGCGCCACCAGGATGGAGCTAGTATTGCATATTTTTTTTACTCATACAAAGCATTTTAGTCTATTCAAACAGACTCCATTTCAAAGGAAACAAGCACTCATTAAGATCAAGTATGGACAATTAGTGGGCGCAGCCAACACACCCTGTGGTCCTCTGTAGCTCAGCTGGTAGAGCACGGCGCTTGTAACGCCAAGGTAGTGGGTTCGATCCCTGGGACCACCCATACGCAAAAAAAAAATATGCATGCATTACTGTAAGTTGCTTTGGATAAAAGCGTCTGCTAAATGGCATATTATTATTATTACCTGAACACACTTAACAAGATAGAGGCTAGAGTTTTTTGATGCTGAGAACAGAATGTATATGTTTTTAAATAACTTTCTTAGAACGTTCTTTGAATATTACTAACGTTTTCTTGTGGTTTTTATGGAAAGTTTTCTTAATGTTCTGAGAACATGACTTTAAATATAACCATGAGGAAACCTGCAGAAAACGGTATGCTGAAGTACTTAAATTCCCACAGAAGAACGTTGTTTCTTAATGTTCTCAAAACGTTCTGAGAACATGACTTTAAATAGAACCATGGGGAAACCTGCAGAAAACATTATGCTGAAGTACTGAAATTCCCACCTAAGAAACTTATGGTTCTCAGAACATTATGTGCTAGCTGGGTATCCTGCACCATTCCCAGAATGTTGTGGGAAGGTTGTATGCTAAATAACCATAGGACAACCACGCTCTCACCAAGCTCTAAGAAACATACAGTTAACGGAATGTAACAGTTGTTAAAATACTTTGCGAATTTCACCAGGTTCATATATTAACATAGCATGTTGATGTGTTATTATGCATGTCTGAATCCTGGGGAATAGGGGAGTGTGTACTTTGCCCTGCGTGCTCGGGCTCAAATCATTTTGATGCGCTTGGAGAGGTAGGCACGCTATTTCTGTCGTCTTAAGAAAAGTTAGATTCCTTTAAGTACAAAGTCTTGGCACACAGTGATTTGTTCATGAATAATGTTGTATATTTAGAGTTTACTCATAAGTGGATGAGAGAGGCACGATTGGCAGAACATATTTATGCTCTACAAATGTTTCATTTTTTATTTCGGATGCAGGAGAAAGAACTCTGATACATTAAAAGTCTCCCGAGTGGCGCAGTGGTCTAAGGCACTGCATCGCAGTGCTAGCTGTGACACTAGATATCCTGGTTCGAATCCAGGCTCTGCTGTAGCTGTAGCTGGGAGACCAATGGGGCGGTGTACAATTTGTCCAGGGTAGGGAAGGGAATGGCTGGCAGGGAGGTAGCTCAGTTGGTAGAGCATGGTGTTTGCAACGCCAGGGTTGAGGGTTTGATTCCCATGGGGTATTAAAAATAATAATGTATGCCCTAACTGTAAGTCGCTCTGGATAAGAGCGTCTGCTAAATGACGTAAATGTAAAACAACCTGATCTCCAAAATCCACTTCTTTAGTCTCAATCAATTACACACAACGCAGAGCTACAGCGGCGCAGTACAGCACCTGTTACAAAAACATTATGCGCTATCTGTCATTTGTTTTGGTGCAGGCAGGATGCCAGCCCTAGTGATCAAACTTCAATCGCCACCGTTATCTCTTTATGACAGCATCTGTGGAGCCATAATTCCGAACCTAAGCAAGCATTTAAAGTTAAATGAGTTCTCACGCACAAAATGCCTATCAGCCAATGAAAAGGGTTGATTTACTTGTGTGGTATCTAAGGAATTTATGACTTTGCTAATGGTTGCAAATGGTTTTAGAGGATGTTGACTCAGCTTAAAGGGAGCATCTGGAGAGTAGTTCTATAGGGGCACCCTAAAGCCGAGGAAGTCTATTAGGTGGAGTCCTGGGATTGGTCTGTAGGGGAAAACACCCATATTATGTTACATAGGGCATAGGATATATACCACGGTTAAAACAGAGGACGGGGAGAATAACAAATTACAGATTGGAGCCGGTTATTCTCCAGATATCGGCAGATATCTGTAAATTGACGCTGGAATCCTTTGATATAAATAAACCTTTATAATCAAAGTACAGTGTCAGCGGAATTCTTGTTCTCACAGCATCTCAGCATAGTTTTCTCGACACCACACTTGCATGTGACAGAAAGCTAAATTGTAGCTGGTTTCCGCCCTTGAAATGTAGATATGTATTGTGTTAGTGTGTAGTGCTTGACTTGGAGTAAATTAGGTACAGGTACCAGGGGCATAGGCATCAGAGGAGGCTGGTGGGAGGAGCTATAGGAGGATGGGCTCATTGTAATGGCTAGAATGGAATTAATGGAATGGTATCTAACACATCAAACATATGGAAACCACATGTTTGACTCCATTCCATTAATTTAATTCCAGCCATTACAATGAGCCTGTCCTCCTATGGCTTCTCCCACCAGCCTCCTCTGGTAGGCATGGGTGGGACTGTGTGGTCTAGGGCCCACCCACTGGGGAGCCAGGCCCTGCCAGGCCCACCCAATCAGATAGAGCAAAAACTTAAAAAATAATACATTATTATTAGGGGTGTAACGATTCGTTTTAACAACGATTCGATTTGTATCACGATTCGTGGTTGTCGATACGATTCAAGGACGATATTGGTTCATTTAGAACGATACGATCCGAAACGATTCAGTGACTTGAAATCGATTCAGTAACCTTTTAGCCCAAAGTTCAACCAGTGTGACTGAAATAAATACCTGGATACTGGACAATGCAGGTGAAGTTTCCTAGATTCCTGTTTCTTGTAAGGACCGCAATGGTGGCTTGATAATTTCTCGCTCGTCGGCTTCTCCTCTGTCGTCCGCCATGCTATGTTTTGTTGTCTTGGCGCCTTTGCGCTGCTGCTGGCGCGATGACGTCACGGATAGGCAGACTGAATCGAGTAATGTTTAAAGCCTTTATCATTAAAAGTGCTAAGAAAAAACATCCATATAAAGTCTGACGTGCTTAAATCCAATGGGTTATTTCCTAGTATAGATACAATCCATTTATTACATTTTAAAACGATGTTAGATCGATATATGTTGTCCAAAAGGCCAACTCGCCGAGCACAGATCGATGTAGTTGGATCATAGGAATATAAATCGATACATCGATGTAGTAGATGGATCGTTACACCCCTAATTATTATTACAAAAATTCTCCTCAGCTTGAATCGACAGTCAATGTAGGAAGACACTTGGCTGTCATTAGTATATTTTTATGTAGGCTACACTTACATGCAGGACTACAATGTTTGCTAGTTTATGCATTATTATAATAATCCACTTCGTCACATGTGTTTTGAATCGAGCATCAAGGACCGAAATTGAATTATTTTATTTCCTCAACAAAAAAGCTTGATGCAAGGTGGGCTCGAACCCACGGTTAAAAAACACTATTGATTACGTGTCTTTCCTCCATTGGAAAAGCCTATAAGACTTAAAAAAGTTGCCAATATTATGTTAAAATGTTGAAAAATCAGTCATTTTTGGTTGTCCCGCTTTACCAACCACAGCATGGAGTCGCTAAAATGGGACAGTCTTATAGGCTTTTCCAATGGATGAAAGAGATCCAGTTTACATTAGGGACCCCCTGTACTTAGGTTAGGGAGGGATCTGCTTCTTGTAGGACTACATCCTGTTCATGTTTTCTTATAGTACTGTTATAAGTACTGCTTATCACACAACCACAAGCACCTTTTTTCCCACTTCCACTCGTGATGTTGGCTGTGGAAAATTAAACGTGGACAACCATTTTTTTTATTACATAATTCAAATAGGCTAACGAAATGTACCGGATCTCAGCTCCGCCTGGCTCTCATTTGGATCATAGGTACCGGGTCTCGGAACCGGGTGGGACTTGGCCCAATTTATGTTTCCATGTGTTTTTCTGATAAAGTAACTCCACAACAGTGAAATTAGATTTTTAATGCAGTTTAAAGCAGGTCAGGACATTTTACTTAGAAAGTTATAGATCATTAAAGTTTTCATCCCTGCTGAAACCATATGGAAAGGGAAGCACACACACACACACACACACACACACACACACACACACACACACACACACACACACACACACACACACACACACACACACACACACACACACACACACACACACACACACACACACACACACACACACACAGACACACACACACACACACACACACACACTGAATATTATAAACATTTTGTCACATTTTGCAGACTAAGATCTGTGTAAAGTCCCAGAAATATTTGTAATTGATGCAAATGGGTTTCTAAAGCAATGTTGCCTTGCTTTTATGAATTTGCATTGTATTCGCCAAGCTGGAGTTGTTGCCAGTTGTCTCTGCACCATAAAGATGATGTCCTCACTTGACATGGGATATGATTTGTACATCTGTTGAGAAGTAATTCCTTGAACTCATATACATTTAGGAATTAAACATTTCCCAGATTTTTCTAGCTTTTTCCTTCTATGGTTTATTTTGTGGTCACCTGTCTGCAGATGCCATGTTGGCAGGCTTCACAATGGGCAGCCTCATGGGGTCCATCAATCCTCCCATCAAAATGGAATGAGCTATTCTTCTCGCCTGGGTCCTTATCGTAGCACTTGACGAGGATCTTCTCGACAAGCTTCTCCAGCAGCACCTTGATGTTCTCTGCCTTGAATTGAGGCTCCTCCATTTGGCTCGGTACACACTTCTTGCACTTCTGTCTGAAGCGTTTCACTTTAACCATCCCCTTTTTCTCCACTGCCAACAGGCGCATGTGAAACACCACCAGAACTCTCTTCGAAGGCCAGGCACTGTTACACTTTGAGCACATGAACCTGCAGGGAGAAATAAGTGATATGTAAATACCTAATTTCAGTATAAAAAGTTAGTCAAAGTACATAAAGTTCATTTAATGTCTTAATTCTGAATTTAATCTATCAAGTCCCTATCCATTTGAAGACAGTAATTGAACATTTAATCAGGTTTAATGTACATTTGTAAACACATTTCTAAGTTCCGAATTCCGTCTATTTACACTTTATTCAAAGAGCCTACCTTGCAAATGTCCCACTGATGTACTGCTGCCAACCTCCCGCTGGGTGATCAGGAACAATGGCGTCATCAAATTCAATGCTCCAGGTGTCCTCTATGCCATGCTCCTCAATCGTGTCCTGGAGAACGCTGGTCCATTCCTGAAGAGTCATTGCTTCTGAGCAGAGGAAGTAGTATCTTTCCAAAATGGACAGAATAGCCGTAGCTTTTTTGAAATGTATGTCTGTCTGTGAGATTGTGTCTACTCACTGGGCTTTAAATATGCTATCCACAATGACTGGGCTGTCCGTCATCACAGCTGATCGTTGATTGCCTCTGCATTTGGACACACTGACGTCAATAACTCTGTTGCTAGAAAAATGAAAGGAAGGGAGAAATGAAACTGAAAGCTTGCTCTCTCTGTTTTCCCTTGAGTTTCTATTGCTGCTGAAATCACTTTGTTTGCCCTGAGTCATTATGACATGTCTCTATAAAGTCCAGGGCAATAATCTGGCATGTGCAATTTAATAATAATGGCACTGCTCAACTACCAAATATGAATCCTGCATGTACTATGGGGAAAACTTTCCATTTACTTTCCCCAGCATTTTACATGGATGATGGCAAGCTATCAAGAGCCCCTTTTATACCTAGTTCTAAATTGTGTCCTTTCTCTTAATATTGTCCACATTCTGATTGTGCCCACGTTTTCAGACAGGTGTAGACAGTCAAGACAAATTGTGATCTGATTGTGATCAGATCTTCCTGACGACCTCCGGGGGGGGTAGTCCAGCACGCAACATGGACAAGTGTAGACAGATCTGGACAGAGAAACCCTTTCAATCATAATGATTCTGCCCTCTGAAATCATTGGCAGGTGACTGATTACATCGATATGTGTCTTACAAATTAAATAAATAATAATACCTGACTCATGGTATCACCAGGTATAAACAGGGCTAAGGTCTGCTGGCAATCAGATTAAGGTGAATAGGGCCTTCCTTATCTAGCTGTCACGCCCTGTCACGCACTGGGACTCTTATATGTTGAGCCAGGGTGTGGAGTTTCTATGTGTTATTTTCTATGTTGTGTTCAAGTTCGTGTTTTCTATGTTGGCCAGGGTGGTTCCCAATCAGAGGCAGCTGATTCTCGTTGTCTCTGATTGGGAACCATACTTAGGCAGCCTGTTGGCACTTTTGTTTTGTGGGATCTTGTTCTGTATAGGTTTGTGTTGGTGAACCTTGAGACTTCACGTATCGTTTATTGTTTTGGTTCGTTGTGTGTACACTAATAAAAGATGTACGCCTATCACGCTGCGCCTTGGTCCACTGTTGATGACGATCGTGACACTAGTCTACACAATAAAGAGCTCTCAAGATGCAGACAGTCACTGAAATATATCAGGTGATGTGAAAAGAATGCCTGGAAAATCGTCAAAGACCCCAATCACCCAATCCGTAGACTATTCTCTCTGCTGAATGTATTAAAAACAAAAAACAGAAATACCTTATTTACATAAGTATTCAGACCCTTTGCGATGAGACTCGAAATTGTGCTCAGGTGCATCCTGTTTCCATTGACCATCCTTGAGATGTTTCTACAACTTGATTGGAGTCCACCTATGGTAAATTCAATTGACTGGACATGATTTGGAAAGGCACACGCCTGTCTATATAAGGTCCCACAGTTGACAGTGCATGTCCGAGCAAAAACCAAGCCATGAGGTCGAAATGAATTGTCCGTTGAGCTCCAAGACTGGATTGTGTCGAGGCACAGATCTGGGGAAGGGTACCAAAACATTTCAGCAGCAAGAACATAGTGGCCTCCATCAGTCTTAAATGGAAGAAGTTTGGGAGCACCAAGACTCTTCCTAGAGCTGGCTGCCCGGCCAAATTGAGCAATCGGGGGAGAAGGGCCTTGGTCAGGGAGGTGACCAAGAACCCGATGGTCACTCTGACAGAGCTCTAGAGTTCCTCTGTGGAGATGGGAGAACCTTCCAGAAGAACAACCATCTCTGCAGAACTCCACCAATCAGGCCTTTAGACAAGATCAGGACAAATGACTCATGGTAGCACCAGGTATAAACGGGGCTAAGGTCTGCTGGCAATCAGATTAAGGTGAATCGGACCTTCTTTATCTAGCCTACACAATAAAGAGCTCTCAAGATGCAGACAGTCACTGAAATATATCAAGCGATGTGAAAAGAATGCCTGTAAAAATCGTCAAAGACCCCAACCACACAATCCGTAGACTATTTTCTCTGCTGCAGCATGGCAAGAGGTACCAGTGCATCAAGTCTAACACCAACGGGCTCTTGAACAAAATCAAATCAAATCAAATCAAAATGTATTTGTCACATACACGTGTTTAGCAGCTTCTGCCCCCGAGCAATACGACTGATAAATAGCTAACAAAATAGCTACACGGACCGAGTTCACCTTGTATCTTTATTGACCTTTTATTTCAGGACCTTTTATACAGGGCCCTACACACTCACATACACTGTCACTCCAACACTCACACAAACACTCACTCCATCATTTTCTCACTCACATATAATATGCACATACTGTACATGTATACTGACTCTACTCACCTGCACACGCACTCACATGTAAGCTGCTGCTACTCTGTTTATCTTATATCCTGTTGCCTAGCAACCTTACCCCTATACATATCTACCTCCATCACTCCAGTATCCCTGCACATTGTAAATATGGTTTTGGAACTGACTTTTAAAATATTTCCTGTGTATAGTATGCTTACTTACTTTATTGTGTATTTCATATTTCTTATTCTTATTTCTCGTGTGCTTTTTTCGCGTATTATATTGTTATTGATTATTGCATTGTTGGGTTTTGAGTTTGCAAGAGAGGCATTTCACTGTACTTGTGCATGTGACATTAAAACTTGAGACTTGAGAAAAAAAAGAGAACTCACCCAGAGTGATAGACATTTGTGCTAAGGCCATGCTGCCACCTACTGGAGTCTTGCTCTGGAGTCTTTGCAGAGCAACGTGGTCAATTTCTCAGGTATATTTTCAAGTTATCTTATGTGTGATGTGATTGCAAAATATGGTAACACTTCATTTTAAGGGGTCCTTATTACAGTGTAATTACACTGTAACAAGTATTGTAATTAATTGTGATAATTCATAGTTACACTGTAATAACAACTGGTGGTAATTGCAGTCTGTAATTACAGGGGTGTAACAACAAATGATTGTTGCCATGCTTGTTACAAATGTTACAGTGACAAGTGTTAGCCAATTGAAAACCTACCACCTCATTGACACAACTCTGCAATAAAAATCTGGAGTCTGATGCCCAATGGCAAAATGGGTTCACAAACGGTTCACATAAACAACAAAAAAATGGACATTGTTAAATAATTTAACGGTGCATTTCACAATGGGTCAATTACTTTAACCATCAATTAAACATTTTTAGAAACATTAATAAACAGCTATGGTTAAAACTATGAGATAGTCATTCGTGCTTGCCAAATTGTAAGCCTATTAAGCTTGGCTGAATAATGGTTTATATACTGAACAAAAATATAAACATGTAAAGTGTTGGTCCCATGTTTCATGAGCTGAAATAAAAGATACCAGAAATGTTCCACACGCACAAAAAGCTTATTTCTCTCAAATGTTGTGCACACATTTGTTTACATCCCTGTTAGTGAGCATTTTTCCTTTGCCAAGATAATCCATCCACCTGACAGATGTGGCATATCAAGAAGCTGATTAAATTGCATGATCATTACACAGGTGCACCTTGTGCTGGGGACGATAAAAGGCCACTCTAAAATGTGCAGTTTTGTCACACAACACAATGCCACAGATGTCTCAAGTTTTGAGGGAGCAAGCAATTGGCATGCTGACTGCAGGAATGTCCACCAGAGCTGTTGCCAGAGAATGTAATGTTCATTTCTCTACCATAAGCCACCTTCAACGTCATTTTAGAGAATTTGGCAGTATGTCCAACCGGCCTCACAACCGCAGACAGCGTGTAACCACACCAGCCCAGGACCTTGACATCGGGCTTCTTCACCTGCGGGATCGTCTGAGGGGGAGGGTGGTAGGGGGTGCTAAGGTGTATTTCTGTCTGTAATAAAGCCCTTTTGTTTGAAAACTCATTCTGATTGGTTGGGCCTGGCTCCCCAGGGGGTGGACCTGGCTCCTAAGTGACTGATTTCCTTATATGAACTGTAACTCAGCAAAATCTTTGAAAATGTTGCATGTTGCGTGTATATTTTTGTTCAGTATACAGTGGGGGAAAAAAGTATTTAGTCAGCCACCAATTGTGCAAGTTCTCCCACTTAAAAAGATGAGAGAGGCCTGTAATTTTCATCATAGGTACACGTCAACTATGACAGACAAATTGAGAAAAGAAAATCCAGAAAATCACATTGTAGGATTTTTAATGAATTTATTTGCAAATTATGGTGGAAAATAATTATTTGGTCACCTACAAACAAGCAAGATTTCTGGCTCTCACAGACCTGTAACTTCTTCTTTAAGAGGCTCCTCTGTCCTCCACACGTTACCTGTATTAATGGCACCTGTTTGAACTTCTTATCAGTATAAAAGACACCTGTCCACAACCTCAAACAGTCACACTCCAAACTCCACTATGGCCAAGACCAAAGAGCTGTCAAAGGACACAGAAACAAATTGTAGACCTGCACCAGGCTGGGAAGACTGAATCTGCAATAGGTAAGCAGCTTGGTTTGAAGAAATCAACTGTGGGAGCAATTATTAGGAAATGGAAGACATACAAGACCACTGATAATCTCCCTCGATCTGGGGCTCCACGCAAGATCTCACCCTGTGGGGTCAAAATGATCACAAGAACGGTGAGCAAAAATCCCAGAACCACACGGGGGGACCTAGTGAATGACCTGCAGAGAGCTGGGACCAAAGTAACAAAGCCTACCATCAGTAACACACTACGCCGCCAGGGACTCAAATCCTGCAGTGCCAGACGTGTCCCCCTGCTTAAGCCAGTACATGTCCAGGCCCGTCTGAAGTTTGCTAGAGTGCATTTGGATGATCCAGAAGAGGATTGGGAGAATGTCATATGGTCAGATGAAACCAAAATAGAACTTTTTGGTAAAAACTCAACTCGTCATGTTTGGAGGACAAAGAATGCTGAGTTGCATCCAAAGA